ATAGGGAGTCTTCTTTACCTCACAACCAGTCGTCATGATATTGCCTTCAATGTAGGTGTTTGTGCCCGTTACCAAGCCAGTCCTAAAGAGTCTCATCTTCTTGCAGTCAAACGCATCATCAAATATGTGAATGGGACAATGGGGTATGGGGTTTGGTTTTCTATTGATACTATAGCTGAAATTACTGGTTTTTCTGATGCCAACTGGGCAGGGTGTGCGGATCATAAGAAGAGTACATCCGAGGGTTGTTTTTACCTTGGGAATAATTTGGTTTCGTGGCATAGTAAAAAGCAAAATGCCATCTCTCTTTCGATTGCTGAGGCTGAGTACATTGTTGCAGGGAGTTGTTGTGCACAAATGCTGTGGATGAAGCAAATGCTTCATGATTATGGGATAGAATAGAACACTCTCACTCTTTTATGTGATAACACAAGTGCCATAAACATTTCAAAAAATCCTGTCCAACACTCTCGAACCAAACACATTAACATTCGTCATCATTTTATTCGAGAGTTAGTGGAAGAGGGCCTTGTTGTTCTTGAGCATGTACCCACTGAGTATCAAAAAGCTGATATTTTTACAAAACCCCTTGATCTTCTTCGGTTTGAGTTCCTTAGAAAGACTTTGGGTGTCATGCTCGATCACTAGCGTGTTTCTTGTTCCTTGAGTAAGTGTGAGTGTTTGGCCTTATATGTGCTTGGATGCTATAATCTCATTGTCATTGATATATGTTTTTCTTGCATCCAAATTTATATGTACACTACTCATGCTGCTTACAAGATCTCATTGGTTTTTGTTCATAGCTCATTTTGAATGTCCATGCTCACTAACCTCATGATTTCATTTTGTACACATCCTTGAAATAAATTGTTGCAGGGGTTTCCGCACAAGTGATCAAAGTTCTCTATGGACCACTAACAGTGTTTCTTGTACTTTTACAATGGAATTGACCGATACTAGTATATCATGGGTGATGTTGAGTCTCTTAACCATCTACCATCTGTTTTCACTTCCACGGTTTCTCCCTCAGTTCCTTGAAGTCTGGGCATCAGGAAACAACTACCTCAGAGGCACCAACCAGGCCATCCTTTATGATTTCCTTCTCTTCTGGTTTGGTTTCCATACTCTTGAGCGTAATTGCCACCAGTGAGTACCCACAAGAAAGTAAAAGTCTAAAAAAAAAAGGGACTCATTGATTGAGGGGGAGCCTCCGCATTTCCTCAACAAACACCCCGTGATTCCTAGTGGTTTGAGTTTTCTCTGTGATGTTCAGTTACTCTTGCTGGAGGTCCAGCCATCTGATCACTATGCGGATTAATTCTAGCTCAGTGGACTCTCATGGATTGCACACACACACTTTATTTTGTGAGGTCTCATGTTGGATTTTGAGTTGTACATTCTCATGTAGCTTATGATCACTGATTATATTTTATCTGCTTTGCTCATGATTTCCAGTGTCATTTTTTAAAAAAATTGCAAGTTTACAGGATTGATGATGTGCGGATTATTTCATATTAGTGTCAATTTTGGCCAAATGTGATCATCTACTTGTGTTCCAGGTCTCACTTCATGATATTGAGTCTCATGGTTTTTTTTGTTTCAAAAAAAAAAAAAAAAATTGTTTTGTCCCCGCTCAAGCGGACATTCCCACGCTCAAGCATGGTTTTGAGCCTTGCAGCATTTTGCACTTCACTTTACAGTTCTGAGAGGGGTGCGTTGGCGCTCGATCGGCCGTTTTCTCGCTCGCGCGAGTCTCCGCGTGTTTTCGCTCATGCTCGAGCGTTAAAACCCACGCTTGAGCGGACTGGTTTTGTATAAATCCCCCTCCTTCGATTCTTCAGTCCATTTTTTGCCATTTGGTGTCTCTCTCCTAGGGCATCCTTTGCGATTCCAGTCCATTGTGCCTTCTTGGTGCTCTCAGTGTGTGTGCTCACTTCAGGTATGTCTCTCATCTCTTTCTCCTCTGTTCTTGTGTCGTATTTCGGTCCCTTTGATTTCTTCATTTTTGTTTTGCTTGAGTTGATTTTACAATGTGTAGATGGGTCTAGGTTGTTTTTGTTCTTCATGTTTAGGTTTATTCATTGTTGATTTTGTTTGTTTCACCATGGTTTAGTTTCTCTCTCTTCCATCTAGGGTTAGTGATTTGGGCACTGTGCTAATTGTTTTTTGGTTTCCATTGGGATTTTGTTTGGTACATATATTGCTCTATGGTTTTGTTATTTTTTTCTTTACATTGCTCATTGAGTCTCTGCCCCTGTTAGATTCATGTGTGGTTGATAGATGTTTGATAGCACAGTTTGTCATTTCATTTATCTTTTGATATTTGCATGTTGGCTGCATTGTACCATGCTTCATATTTGCAATATCTGGTTCTCTTGAGCCTACATTTTTGCATCATAGATTTATTTCCTTGCCTCATGTTATTCTATCAACCTGTGATACTAATGTTTTGTGTTGTCTCTATTTTTTTTTTGGTCTTGGGTTGGGGGTTGTTTGTGTTGTTTTCTGTTTTGTCTCTTTGGCTTGGTTTAAGTCATGTCCGCCTTCAGAAGACAAAAGTCTACTGCCTCTCGCCCTCCATATAACACTGAGCGCTTTCCCTCGGCTGAGAAAGCCAAGCTGTACCGCGAGTCATACCCAGCCCGCTCCATTCATCTTGAACGTAATGTTCAACCCTCCACAATTGAGTCCATCCCTATCTGTTCACTGTTTGATCCCTTGGGTGGGGATAATGTTCTTTTATTTTCTGGTTCTCAAAACCTTTCTTGGGTGCGAGAATTCTATTGTAACATGGATAGTCTGGACAATATTAGACACTCCTTCAAGACTTGGGTCCGGTCTAAACCCATTACTGTTACCACCGACCTTATTCGAGAGATGTTAGGGATTACTGAAAGGTTTCCCATCTTCTATCCTTTTCCAGTACGCCCCACTTGTGACTTTGATGAGGTTGCCCACACCCTTTGTGGTTTCCCCCGTTCTTGGCCCTCTGGTTCATATTCTATGGATCAAAACCAAGGTTGTAACTTGTTTTAATTTTCCAGTTTTTCTAGTTTTGGTCTTCCCACTCGAGCGGGGAAAGTGACGCTCGAGCGGGGTTTGCACACTCACAGCATTTCTGTCAAGTCTACAAATATACTGGATGGTGTGATTCGATGCTCGAGCGTGGAAAGTTCCGCTCGAGCGTGGACCTTATATGAATCACGGAAAATGCAATCTCTGCTCGAGCGGGAAATCCCATGCTCGAGCAGACCACGCGATCTCAGACTCTATATATTCGTGTGTTGGGTCAAGTTTAGGATTACTTCTCCTAGATCTTGTTTAAGGTTTTCTAGGGTTTTGTTTGAGGTTTTCTTCTGGAGATTTTGGTGAGTTTTCCTTGGTAAAATTGAATGAGTATTACACTCATGAATTGAGAAGCACATACCAAGGAGGTTGATCGAATATATACAAGAGTGTTAGTCTTCGGTGGATTCTGAAGATTCAAACGTAGAGTTTCAAAGGTGTTTGATTCTATACGTAGTCGTTAATTCGACAAGTGAAGTTGTGGATTCGACTTCAGATTAATCAGTTTCGAGACGAAGGCTTGGTGAAAGAGTTACAGAAGATTTGAAGGCAAATTGACTGAGTTGGGTAATTTTTGTATTATCTTTGTAATCTTTTTTTCTTCAGTAGTGGATTGATTAGTGGCGTTTCGCCCGTGATTTTTGATTACAATTGAAGGTTCTTCAATTGTGGTTTTTCCACGCAAAAATCGTTTGTGTCGATTTATTGTTTATTCATAAAACAACAATCTAAATCACTTTCGTAAGTACCTAATAATTTAGATTGAGTGTTTTAAATATTTGGGAAGTGGAATATTTTAAATCATGATCTAATCACGAATCACTTAGGATTTTCAAATGCGACTTGAATTTCTTCAGTAGTGGATTGATTAGTGGCGTTTCGCCCGTGGTTTTTTATTACAATTGAAGGTTCTTCAATTGTGGTTTTTCCACGTAAAAATCGTTTGTGTCGATTTATTGTTTATTCATAAAACAACAATCTAAATCACTTTCGTAAGTACCTGATAATTTAGATTGAGTGTTTTAAATATTTGGGAATTGGAATATTTTAAATCATGATCTAATCACGAATCACTTAGGATTTTCAAATGCGACTTGAAATTGAAATTGCATCTTAAAGCTGCGATTTTAGTACAAAATTGCATTACCTCTTAAAAAAACTCCAACTATGACGACATTTTGGTGATATTTGGTGATGTCTTGCACACACATACACATACACCCCATTGTATTGTTTCATACATGTTTTTTTATAATTGCTTGACTCATAGATATTTCATGATGTTGCTAGGAAGGTTCTTTGTATATTAGCATCAAACATGCTTTGTAATTAGTTACAATAGTTTAACCTTCTGATATAATGTTGTGTCTGATGTTTCCAATCTTGCTGCCAAGTTAATAAAAATATCGTCAGCCATTAAATACAGAATTCTATGCATTGTGGAAAAGAATTCATGAAAACAAATTTCATTGAATTGAACTAAACTTTGTATAATATAATAGAATAGATAATAGGATACAAAATAATAAATAAATAATAATTTGAATTTACGGTTTGAAACCAACAATACAATTAAATAACAAAACATGATGAAAATTGGCCTTAATAGAACATAGATAAAACAACTCATGATCAGTATAACCATTAGCCGTTGCATCCGCTTGCATCCCAATTGAGATAACTTGCGTGAACTTTTTTCTTTAAACTGTACTACAATGAAACTGTGCTTGTAAGAGATAGTAATCTCCTATTTAAATTAGTTATCATAGTTTTTATTAACCTATTTCACTACAGTATCTTGTTGTGACCCATTAATAAAAAGATACTATTCATTTTAATTAATTACAAGTTTATTGATTTATATTGTTCACATTTATTGTATGATAAATTTGAACACAATGTTGATGCTTACATGTTCGATATATTATTTGCAGGTTATTGTAGCAATGGACTCGGGTCCAACTGATCCTACTGTGTTGACGCTACAACAGTCTCACCGATCCTCTTTAGCATGGACTACCTCGGTACGTATATGTGCCACTTCCTTCGCTTTAAATTGTTACATTATATGTCAAGTGAAATTGTATTAATTGTTATGTGATTTTTACATAGGATGATGTTGACTCCGTTATACTTACATGTCAATGCCGCAAAGCTACGATAGGATGTATGGGACCCCCTGATGCATGCATAGGCCCATACTTGCAGAGAGCAAGATTTTTTGGACTCATCCATGTGCTGTTCATACAGTTAGATTGGTATCTTATTACTGCACTAATAAAGAGGTGCCGATCGGAGACACACACATTTCACTTAACATCTGGGGAGGCAACCATCACATTGCAAGATGTCAGTAACTTATCTGGACTACAGGTTGATGGTAACGCTATTACAGGGAATACTGGTTATGATTGGCCTGCTGTATGCAATAGTCTTTTAGGGACAGTTCCACCTACCAACCAGCTCAAAGGCTCGAGGTTGAACATGACGTGGCTTTCCCAGACTTATGATGACTTACCCATTGATGCTGATGATGTCACAGTTCAGTGCTATGCTAGAGCATTCATTCTCCAACTTTTGGGTGGTAGCATTTCTGCAGGCAAATTTGGTAGTATGGTGTAATTGATGTTTCTGCCTTTACTAGAGGACTTTGATGCTGTTAGGGAATACAGTTGGGGGAGTGCAGCACTAGCTTGGTTGTATCGAGAGTTATATCGTGTATCTTGCGAACGTGTGCATGACATTTCTGGTTTTCTCATCCTTGTTCAAATCTGGACGTGGTATAGATTTCCCCACATTGGTCCACGTCGTCTTCTTAGACAACCAGTAGCGGACGGTCCGCTCATCACACAGTATTAATCATTTACATGTTATTATATTTTAATTTAATATGATTATTTAGACATTATTATAGTATTGATTAATAATATACTCATTTCTTTAAAATCTTCAGTTGGCGGAATGCATTTATTGTTTGAGAGATTTCCACTCATGTCCTCTGTCAATATCGTTATTCCTTGGACAGGCAGGCCTTTGCATAAGTAAGTGTTCTGTTTATGTTTTACTCTAGTAAACATGAGTTACTTATATTGCTCAATTTTTTAACTTATACTTATTACTTATGTTGTAGATGGCGTGGCGACCTTACAGTACTGAGTTGATTAAGGGGCTTCCACTATATTGTTCGGATGGTGTAGATATATGGCAAGCAGTAGTTGTATTCATTTGTTTTTTCATTGTTGAGATGCACCATTTTGATAAGAGTACAATGACAATTTGGATTTTGCTAGACTATTCCCCACAATTGTGACACTATCATTGCTCTTCATAACCTCGATTTACGTGGAACCAAAACTAAAGATTGGGTGAACCATCACAAAAAGTGGATTCAATTATGGGATCAACGCCGAACCCACATTGTTGTAGGTGAACCATGAGATGGTAATATGCATGATGATGATCCATACATGGTATGGTATCGACGTATCACTCATCAATACATTAGTCGTGCTGCATGTACATTTGATTCCGTGGTACGTATATATATATATATATTTTTATTTGTCAACATTATTACTCATGTATAGTTTTTCAATTTTAACATTTTCATTATGTTTGTTAGACTGGTCATTTGGTACAAATATGTAACGCATCACTAGGGGGATCACATATTGGCACACTGGCTAGCCAGGCACTTGCAATTCTTCATGATCAAGATCGCTTCGCAAGGGTACCTCCACCACAGCCTGCCGTTCACATACATGGAGAGACACAACCATCTGATAGGGTAGATAGTGAGCCACATAGGGAGAGGGACTTTACCTCTATACCAGATCTCAAATCCATGTTAAATGATTGGTGTCAAACCCCTATCCGCATGGAAGATTTTGGGAATGCAATGACAGAACAACATGAAGAAGTGGTCACACATTCTGAGGAGGGTATTTCTCATACAGTAGCAGGGGCTCTACATTCTGGAGATGGACTGACACAATCACCCAAGAGGGTTCAAGCCTTTACCGAGACAATCACACATAGTGAAGAGAGGGGATCACATGCTGATGAGCAACATCTTGGGACTACACATGCATCGCATGAGGAAGTCCCAGTATCTGCCATTACACAGTCTGAAAAGGGAGGTACTCAAAGCGGAAATGGGATTCCATTGTCTACCGAGAGAGTTACACATTGTGGGGAAGGGGAATCACATGTTGATGAGCGAGTACTACCTATTGTGCCTGTGGACCCTGTTCTTGATAGGAGGAAGTGACGCAGATATCAAGCTACTGAGGAGGGTGTCACACAGGTTCCAGAACCCCCACGTCGCAAGGGAACTTGCAAAATTAGACATCCTAGGTGTGGCACCCATATACCTCCCCCTTCTCGGCACAGACAGTAGTGATGTATAACATATATTATTTTTGTGACTTATAGTTTTTAGTATTTAACGTATAATTAGTATTATAAGTAGGAAAGAAAATGTTAAGTTGAATATTGACAGTTTGATGTTTTAATTTTTGATTTTGGGTTCTGATTTGAATGTTGTTTACTTGATTTGATTTGACTGTACGTTTGTATTGAGGAAATTAAAAAGGCTAATGGGCTTATTGGGGACACCATCTATGCTGGCCTAAATTAGTCCCTGATATGATATGTCATCTTGTACTTGATGTTTGTCTGTAATTTTATCTTGGCTTTAGGTTGTAACAAATTTATCTTATTAGAAAAAATTAGGTCGTACTCTTGGCTTCATTTCATTTGGCCAATGGTTTATATATTGTTTTTGGCTAGACAATTTGAACTTAGTTGCTGAAGTAGTTGTATTATTAATTTTTAGTGACACATAATTTTGTTTGTGGTTTGTTTCCCTTCTTGAAGTTTTCTTGCAGAAGTTTGGGCTGATTAACTCACAAAATTCTTTACTTCTCCAAGAGCTTCTCTTCCTTACCAGAGTCGTCATTTTCATTGGACTTCCTGGTTTAAACGAATTTGTACTTCAAATGTTTAATTTTTGTCTATATCCTACAATCTCTTCTTTTCCGATGGAATATTAGGGTTTTTGGTTTTCATAGCCTCTATTTACATATTTTTGTAAGGGTCCAAAATTCTATCATAGGGAACAATTCTCTCATTCAAGTGTTAGGGCTTTTGATGTGTCATTCAATTTTGTTTCAATTCTCTTGATGGTTTGATTTTAGAAATATGAAATTGGTGCTAAGCTTTGTTTTTTACGTGGTAAGAGTAGTGTTAATTTGGGACAATGAGATTTGTATTAATCCAGTTATGGTATATAATTCAGGTAGAGGAAAAGCGGTGACCCTTGCCCAATTACATGGAAAATGTTCAAAATGATACTAATCAAACAATGTAAGATATTCTATTGGGTTAGTTGGTTGAGGTTGTAGAGGAATACAAACTTGTCTTGGACACCCTTTATCTCACTGTATCCTACATTGACAGATTCCTATCTCATGCTGTAAGCAGGAACAAGCTTCAGCTTTTTGGTGTTTCTTGCATGCTTGTTGCCTCGTATGCTCATCAACTCCATTGTATATAGTCTTATTTTTCTTGGTCATTACATGGGTTGATTCTCTTAATGGTACTCTTTTATGGTTGATAATGCAGCAACTATGAAAAGATTACTGCTCCCCACGTTGAAGATTTTTGCTATATAACAAATAAAACTCATACAAAAGAAGAGGTGAGTTTGTCCCCACGAATTTGTCTTCATCTTTTTTTTTCCCACAAATAAAATCTATCAATGCTTGTACATGTTTTGGAGGGGTGATTGTGCAAGTGGTGAAGATGGAGCGAGATGTCCTCAACTTTTTGAACTATGAGATAGGTACTCCCACAGTATAAAATTTTATTAGGTAGGAACACTATCATTTTGCAATCCTACTATTTACTTATTTTGATAGTGATGTTGCTGTTGCGTTTGCCTTTGTGATGATTACATTTGAATTATTGTGGAACCAATAGCAATTTTCTTGGTGGATTTGTAGAATTTTCACCAGGAATGATTTTCATTAGGTAAGTACTAGTTCCATTTATTTACTGGTGCAATAGACTGTTTCCATTATAGCCTTAATGGTAGAAGTCTGAGGAAAGATTTTCCATATTTGTTCAATCTCTCAATGGATAAGGAAGGCACATTGAAGTTTTTTTATCACAGGAAAAGACAGGACACAGATTGGAAGCTGGAGTTTAGGAGATCACTTTTAGCTTGGAGGAAGAGGAGGTTCAAAGACTTACTGGATTATTATTAGAGGCATCTCATCTTAATGATACAGCAGAGGATTCTTGTTCATGGCTGGAAAATAGTTCAGAAGTGTTCTTTGTGGCTTCAGTTTGGCAAAGGGTGGAGGTAGCTAAAGGGCCAATGCTCAGCATTTCAAAGGTTCTATGGAAAAAGTCAGCACCTCCAAAGGTTTGGTTCTTCAGTTGGTTAGCTTGGAGAGTGAGAATAAAGTCTGCAGAGTTTATGCATCGGTTTGGTGTATTGAATGATAATGTTAGTTCTCTGTGTGTGTTTTGTAAGGCAAGGGTCGAAACAACTAATCATGTGTTGTTGTTATGCCCTTTGATCTGGAATGTATGGTCTGTCTTGGTAAACTGGTGGGATGTAAAATGGGTAACACTAGGTTCTGTGGAGGTTTTGCTGCGCTGGTGGTTTGGAATGAAATGGAGGAAGAAGGAGATGGAGATTTGGAAGGTTGTCCCTTTGGCAATGTTGTGTCTGTTTGGAAACTAACGAATGAGTGTTTATTTAAGGAAGGTCATGCTGATCTTGCAGGATTGGGGGAGTTGGTGAAAGTCAGAACTGCTCTATGGGTGAAGTCTAATATGAAGGGTGTTAACTACTCAGTGCATAATGATGTCACAAATTTGAAGCAAGTCAGAAGTTGTTTATAAGCTATTAGAGGAGTATGCTGGTGTATTATTTCTGCTGTGAGGATGTCTTTGTTGTATGTCTGCAGGTGAGATGTTGTTTAGAAGGAAGAAGAGATTTGCTCGTGTGTGCTCTTGTTTTGAGGTGCAGAAAAACAATTGATGCTGTTGGTAGCTCACCGGTTTGGTGTTGCTGTAGTGCTACTGCTGCTGCTGTATTGTTGCTCGTGCTGTCAATGGTTTGGTTTGCTACTGGTGTTGCTGGTGCTGTGGATGGTTTGGTTTGGTGCTGTATATTGCTGCTGATACTTCTGAGTGCTGGGTGATTTGTTTGCTGGTTGGAGATGCTATTGTTGTAGATTGCTGCAGATGCTGCGGATTTGCTGCTGCTCGTTAGGTGGAGTTTCCTAGTTGCAAGTAGTTGTTTTTTGTCATTGGTCAAGCTTAATGGATTGCTTTGCTATGGAAGTTGGTGTCTGATTCTTGTTTCTTGTTCTGTGTTTTGTTGTTGCTCTGTATGTTGGTTTCTCATCAACTTGGAGCATGGAGCTTGGTTAGGATCTTGATGGTTCATGATACTTTTTGCACTCTCCTCTTTATTAATATCATCATATTTTGTATGTTTTTCTATCAATAAAGCTTTCTTTTTGCTGATAAAAAAACTAATGCCAATCTTTTATCTTTAGTAATTGTGGATTGGTTTGACATGAAGATTATTTTTTACGGGATCAGATATGAATGGATTTATTATACAATTATGGAATATTATGAGAAAGAATACAATTAGAAATTGGATAATTTATTAAAAATTGTGGAATATTATGAAAATGAATACAATTAAAAATTGAAAAAGAGGGATAGATGTATAATTTATTTTATCTTTCTTTTAACTATTTTAGTCTTTTAATTCCTAAATTACATTTGGAGGTTTACAAAAACTATAATAATTTATATAATTGTAATTTTAATAAAATTATAAAGATTAAAATTAATACAAATGATATGAAAATATTAAAAATTTCATATCATATAATAATTGGAGATCTTTATCATATGATTAACGAATTTATAATAAAAAGTGGTTTTATGTTTTATGAATTGAAACTTTATATTGAAATCTTATATTTTATCCCATTATTTTTCACGTAATTTTGTAGCCTAAATATATTTTTGGATTGTAAAAATAGTGCTTAAACAGGTGTAAATTTCACCCCAAGACAGAGGCCAAGTCAGCACCAAAAATAGCCGAGCACAACAACAACTGAAGCAGTGCAGCCCAAACGGGGCTGGACGTCCTGGGGGACATCCCGCTAGATGTTCGACCGGATGACCGGAAAAGGGTTTTTTCCAGTTTTGTTGCAGTTCAGTTTTGCTTTGCACCAGTTGTCAACTCAACAATATACTCAACAACCGCAGAAGTAATCTTCACGACCGGGACCCCACCGGACATCGGGGGGATATCCTGGTGGACATCCAGGCGAACGTCCAATCACTCTATAGTGCCAAACTATTTTTCAAATATACTTGTCATCAATTAGCCTCATCGATTTAACCTCAATGTTTACTTAATCTTCTCAACACAGCCAATAGGCAACTGTTGATGAAAATACAACAAGCAACAACACAAGCAAGAAAAAAATTTAATATTGATGACATTACATTCAATATTGAAATACATGGTACAATCAACTTGGATAATAATTAGTTATGTCACCCACTACTTGAGGCTGCTACATTGCTATTTGGACATCTCCTTCGATTATGACCTTCTTGCCCACACAATCCACAAATTTGTTTGGTTTGAGACTCGCGCCAATCCATAGCATTTTGAAGTCGTGTTGTCCTTGGACGACCACGAGTCCTAGCAAGGTTCAGATTATGATGGAGTTTTGGAAAGTTAGGCTTTCACCAATAAGCAGCATCAACTACAGGATTGAATGAGTGTTGATAACATGCCATTTGTGCTTTCAGTGTGTAACATTCATCAACATATTGTTGGTGGTCAAGGATGGAAAATTTACATGCTGTAATGACATGAGAACATGGAATTTTATAATTTTTCGATTTTTAACAGTCACATGTTCTTTACATCAAGTTGACCACATGAAGATGCAAACCCCGATTCGAATACAAGGGGTTCACTGCAGTTTGAACATCGAAAATACCCAAATTCATATTGAAACTTCTCACTGAATGGCCCCTGGACTTTTTCTTCTATTTGGTAAGCATCTATTTTGCATAAGCACTGTAAACTTCACCAGCGTGCATTTCAACATTGGCCTTGTTACATCGTTCTTGAAAATAACTAACACATTTATAAAAAGTTAGTTGTACCAATGATGTGATAGGAAGATGTCGTGCACCCTTTAATACTCCATTGAAGCTTTCAGAAAGGTTGGTAGTCATAGCTCCATAACATTTTCCACCATTATGTGCTAGCGCCCACAGTTCAAGTGGCACAAGATGAAGTTCATCTGCAGGATTGGAATTTAAGTCTCTTATTGACTTCATTTTCTAATCAAACTTCTTCTATTTGGTGAGCATCTATTTTGCATAAGCACTGTAAACTTCAACAGCGTGCATTTCAACATTAGCCTTGTTACATCGTTCTTGAAAATAGCTAACACATTTATAAAAAGTTAGTTGTACCAATGATGTGATAGGAAGATGTCGTGCACCCTTTAATACTCCATTGAAGCTTTCAGAAAGGTTGGTAGTCATAGCTCCATAACGTTTTCCACCATTATGTGCTAGCGCCCACAGTTCAAGTGGCACAAGATGAAGTTCATCTGCAGGTTTGGAATTTAAGTCTGTTATTGACTTCATTTTCTGATCAAACTTCTTTTTTTGATTCTCATAAGCTGCCAAAGTGATCATGTCTCGCAATATCGCATTGTTGTACTTTACATGGTAGTTGCTGGCAAGATGGCGAATGCAATAGCGATGATAACCATTTGGATGTTGCCACAAATGTGAGCGATTCACAGATGATAAGATTCCTCCATGTTTGTTAGACAAAAGACAGAGACCAGTCCGTTGTGTTATGTACTCCCTAATGCATGTTAGAAACCATGACCAAGTATCTAGTCTTTCCTCATCCACAACGGCAAAGGCTATTGGAAATACATGATTATTTGCATCCTATGAAACTGCAATTAGTAACTTACCTTTATATTTTCCAGTTAGGAAGGTTCCATCTATGCTGATGACTGGCCTGCAATGTTTAAAACCCTCGATAGAAGAACTAAATGTCCAAAACACTCGTTCAAATATAACGTTATTCGCAGCATCTGACGGCATTGTTTTCCATGAAACGATAGTTCCTGGATTGGAATCCATTATAGCCATCATTCATTTTGGTAAGATGCGGTATGATTCATTCCAATCCACAAAGGTATTTGCAATGGCTTTTTGCTTTGCATTCCAGGCCTTATTATAAGATGGTAAGAAACTATCAAACTTTTGCCCAACACTGGCTCTCAGTACAGAGATCTTAATTGATGGATCCGCCTTTACAAGCTCTCGCACTTCGTGCTCAATTAACTTTGGGCTCAACATTGCATGATCTTGTGTAAGCGTTGTAGATACACATGTGTAAGGTCCTTCATATTTTGCTAATCTCAAATAAACCATATTTGACATGCTTACATGCTCTAAGCTTCCACTCGCACCCATTTTTGCAATGCAATTTTCAGGAGTCTGTTGTTGACTTCACCACTACATGGAAAGTGTTTCTCTTCATGCCATAATGGTTTAGCGCAATTTGTAAGTCTTCCTTGTTTCAAAACAATAGCCCTTTGCTTAACTCCTTTGTTGCATTCCATATCCCAGTGACATCAACTGACAATGGTATGGATGGATCATTAACATTTGACCATGTATCCTCAATAAACATTGGAGATAGGGCTTGGTGAAAAGAACCAAAAATAGTCTGTCCCCCTTTAGTTGATAGACCAACTCCTTCATTCGCATCATCGTCTTCGAGGTCCAAACCATCATCTGCTGGGACGTGGATATCATTTGCAATCATTTCCTGTACAGCATATGTGGTTGTTGCACATATTCCATTGGTGGACCGTGGTTAAATATCTTCTACCCCATCAGAGTTAATGCCGATAGGTACAATGTACGTACGTTCGAAATGATCACCATGGGAGTCATGACTGAATGATGCAAAGTACGTAGGTTCAAAGTGATGGTCATGTGTATTAATTGGGAAATACACATCCATGGGAGTCTGTTCGCTTGTACCTAGCACATCAACATTAACATTAGTATAAGGAAAAACATTAATGGTATAACACCCCCAAAATATTTAATTAATTTTAGCACCACGAATAAAAAATAAATTATTGCAACGCCGAACCTCTGGGTACCGGGTTTGGGTCGTGATAGATAGGCTCCATAGTGATAGATAACTCAGCAATGTTGTAACCAGGAGTTGAGTCAATTATATCAAATATACCCTCAACACCATCATCATCTGTGATCACAAGTGATGTGTAGTAGACAGCATGAGGGTAACTTCTAGATGGAAATCTGTAAGTAATCAAGACATTCCCCCCCCCCATTGTGGTCTATCCCTGTAGCATCGATTAATCGATTGCGAAGATTGATAAACAAAATATTTCGATTAACTCATACCCATTTTGGATCAGGACCCTCGTATGCAGTTCCACACTCATCATTAATTATTCCACCATTATAGTATATTGCAAGATTGTATCATTTTCCTTCCATTGGCACTGGAAAATAAAATCATCAAACACCAAACGTCATTGAAGAATATAACCCTCAACTAGCATAAAAAAAAATTCCATATTAAATAAATGATTATGTTTATGTGTTAAATGAATATTTTACCTATGTAATCTTAATGAAAAAGATTATTGTCTTGGAAGCTTTGTCTCTTGAAATGTTGAAATATAGTATTCGTAGAACGAAAATATTGAGCTGAAGAGTTTGAGTTTGGGAGTTAAATAAGCAATAAAAAAAATAGATTAAATAGACATTGACAAGAATCTTGCATGTTCCAATGAAGAGGATTTCAATGTTGTATAATTTTATTTTATTTTTACATTGTTCGAAAGTTCCCTCACGATTTGACATTGACAAGAGTTAGGTGATAACAATGAAATTGCATGTTGGAGATGCAACTTCACTTGAAATCGCATGTTGAAAATGCAACTTCAATTTGAATATGCGATTTCAAGTTTGCACAGGAAAAAAATTATAAGATTTTTTAAAAAATATAGTGAACTTAAAAGAAATATGAAAACGTCGTACTTGAAATCATACTCAAATCATTGTAACAGAGGTGGTGGCAGGTGAAATCGCATGTTCAAGATGCAATTTCAAGAGACGTTGTATTTTGAACATGCGATTTCAATTGAAGCTGTGTTTTGAACATGCAATTTCAAGTGCGTAAAGCACAATTGAAGTTGCATGTTGAAAATGCAATTTCAATTGAAGTTACATTTTGAACATGCGATTGGGACATCAATTGAAGTTGCATGTTGAGGACGCGATTGAATTGAAGTTGCATGTTAAACATGAAATTTCAATTAAAGTTGTATTTTCAACATGCAATTTAAAGTGAGTGTATTCATTTCATAATTCAAATCCACAAGACTGGTAAAAATTCAAGTGAGTTCAAATCGTACTTGAAGTC